TCCACAAACAAAAAGTGTTATATATTTTATCGCCATGCAATCATACAAAGAACTTAATAAATATATATTACTAATAAATAAATAATACTAAATATAATCAGTTTTTTATAATTAGTAACCATATAAAAACAATGTATGTCAACTAATTTCAGTTTCTTGTTCAATTTATTGCTCTTCCTTCCCTACTCTTTGTTGTCCAGCTTGAAGTTTATTGCTTTTATAATGTCTTCTTTGTAAACAGGACAGCTCATTAGTCATATTGTTGTATTGTTAACACCCATTACACGTTCTGGAAAACAATGGACAAATTTTCATGTAAGTTAACACAGTTTCACATTACAGTGCATCTACAGTAGGTGGGGTAACTATGAGGTCTTAACCTGCAATCAGACCTATAAATAAATACACATGCTTGATACAACCCTTAATTAACAAAAGTCCATGCCGTACAACCTATTTTGGTTGGAAATCTGATTGGTCTATGCGACAACAGATTTTTAATCTGTCATTTGCTTGGTTGGTGCTAATTAGATTATACTATTGTTGTCAATATATGTTATAGTGATCACAAGTATGATTAGATTGTTGTTGTCGTTGTGTGAATTATGTGAGTCATGATTTAGTAACAGTTACTATTTTTAGACTTTTAGGGTTAGGATTAGGGTTTGGATTAGGGAAAGGCTTACGATTAGGGTTATGATTAAGATTAGGGTTTGGCTTGGAGTAAGGGTTAGATTTAGGATTGGGGTTAAGTTTAAAATACAAAATACAAAATTACAAATTCTAAAAATAGTAACTCTTCCTAAAACGTGACAGGTATAGGATATAACTACCCAACATATCTTGTGCAATTACTCCTTGAGTATTAATAGGTGATACTTGGGCAAACAGTCCACAGTCGATAAGTAAAAATGTCTCTCAGGAAACATATATACATCAGAGTTAAATATCAGAGTACTTAAGGTAGGGAGTGTTAGGGAAAATTGCTATCCTTTTGCTTCCTAATTATTAAATAATTTTTACGAAACAAAAATGTCACTCCATCCTTTAAAGGCAAACCAAACCAAACCATACCATATTAAGGTTTTAGGTTGAGTGGGAGGAGATTTTCACATGTGTAAAACTTGAATAAGAAGGAAGCAAGAGAAGGGTGATGTGTTTGTTATGGATTTTCCTCCTCAATCTCAGGTTGGGGTCCACCAGAACTCGGTTCCGGCCAGAACCCCGATTTTTCAAAGTTCCTGTTCCGGCCGGAACCTGCACCGGAACTCTGTTTTTTTCAGAGAGATAGAATATCAAACGTTTTTGTGTCTAACAAAAGTTCACAGTAGGACGAAATTTGGACTACACAAGGAACATTTTTCAATCTTTTTATTCCCTTTGCACACACTCTCCTTGATGACTTGAAGTATCTGACTGTCTGGCAGCAGACAAAGTAACGTATGACTATATATGGCTTAATAAATCAGTTCTGGTTCCAGCCAGAACTTTTTTCCAGTTCCGGCAAGAATTTAAGAAATTGGTTCTGGTGCACCCCTAATCTCAGGACCTAAATCCTATTGAGAATTTATGGGATCATTTGCAATGAGAGAAACTGAAACATGATCTCCACAGTGAAGACAACCTGTGGGATGTCTTTATTAATCAATGCTGGAATAAGATTAAGCCAACAGTACTAGAACACTTGTTGAATCTAAGCCCGGAAGAGTTAAACCTATTTTAAAATCAAACAGGGGTCACGCAAAATAATGTTCACTTGGCTAATATAATATAATATAATATAATATAATATTTATCATTTATAGACCCGGAGCGAGGGGGATTCGAAGCCCGAGGGAAATATCATCACTTCGGGAAATATTTCGCCGAATCCCCCGAGCGGAGGGTCTATAAATGATATATTATACCGAAAATTAAAAGCCTCCAAGTTGAGAATTAAAAACTTGACACATACCTTCGTGAATACGATGTTTTATTTTCGGATTAACGCAAGTATCGTCGCTTTTCTTTCGAATCACATATTGTTTGGAATATTAATGACAAAGCCCCGGGTTTTAGGTTTGAAAAAGCCCCAGGTTTTAGGTTTAAAATTGAATTATTCATCACTCATTAATACTATTTATGTTTTGTCGGCCATCTTGTTGTCATGCGTGTTGTCCCGCGTGGTCTACGCGAATAATGTTCCACCCCATGTTCCCCGGGGAACATGGGGTGGAACATTGTCAAAAGGAACGCAGGCTCGCTAATTGATGACGTAAGGCGTGATATCGCGATTAATTTCATGCTCACGTGGCACAAACTAAGCTTCCTGATTGGACAATTTGAATTTGAGGTATAATATATATATATATATATATATATATATATATATATATATATATATATATATATATATATATATATATATATATATATATATATATATATTTACATGACTGAAACAAACGTTCAGTAAAAAACAAATTTCGAAGAAACAAGACATCTTGAGAATACGAATACTTCAAAACAAGACGCAGGTTGAGACTGTAAATTTTCGAATAACTTCCTTTACGTGCTTCGGTGCATGTTAACTAATCAGGAAGTTCCTTCGTTTACGTGCTTCCGTGCATGTTAACTAGTGCAAGGGCTGAATATAAAGAGCATTTGTCCCGCTGTGTCTGCATAAAACTGCAACAGTCAGATTGTGCTGTCGCTTAAAACCTTAGTTTAAGTCACATTTGATATTTTGTGAGGTATGGCTGAAGTTAAAGTAGAGTTCGACTACAATCGGAACGAAAACACCACAAGACATCATACAAATGAATATGAGAACGACGTCTTAGTACTACGTCGCGGTGTGACGTTTGATTTAGGGCTCATATTTAATGATGTTGCTCCTCAAGATATTCAAGAGCCTGTTCTTCAATTTAGTATGGGTAAGTTTCACACTAACTATAACACTACTGACTGTAATCATACTGCTCAGTAACGTTAATAATGAACGTATTCTGACTACTGTTTTCAGAGCTAAATCGTATTGTACAGATTTGGTCATTTTTGCGGGATTTTTGGACATGCCATTCAAATTTTAAATTGTGTAAACTATTCAAACCTTTAGAAACGTATTGTGTTTAGACTATCTAAATTATGTTTATTAGCATATTGTATATGAAGGGTGATTACCGCCAAAATTCATTATGCCATTTTGACATTCAATTTGACCCAATTATACATACAGTTCTATTCGGCAAAATCGTATTCGGCTGTTTCGTATTCGGCTGTTATGTATTCGGCTGTTTCGTATTCGGCGGTTATGTATTCGGCTGTTTTGTATTCTGCTGTTTTGTATTCGGCTGTTTTGTATTCGGCTGTTTTGTATTCGGCTGTTTTGTATTCGGCTGTTTTGTATTCGGCTGTTTCGTATTCGGCTGTTTTGTATTCGGCTGTTTTGTATTCGGCTGTTTTGTATTCGGCTGTTTTGTATTCGGCTGGTTCGTATTCGGCTGTTTTGTATTCGGCTGTTTTGTATTCGGCTGGTTCGTATTCGGCTGTTTTATATTCGGCTGTTTCACGGCAATTTTACATGACGTACAGGATCCTGGATCTGATCGCAGGCTCGTATATACATAAAAACATGGAGGAAGACTTCACAATCGAGGTAAGAAATCTTCTGAGACGCTGTGTTTTAAGTATACTTCACCAACTAGAGCAACGTAGTGGTGAAAGCAGTAGTCTTGAAAATGCTCAGTTTAGGTTGGAGTGGCTATTGGGTATAGTGATAAGATATCATCACAGTAATATTATTCAACGGGCTGTTGTCGATCTCCTCTCAGAAGCACTATCTATCATAACCAATTCGTGCGAAACACAACACGATGCAGCTGCTGGGCGTTTGTTCTCTGGGTCTCCTGGCCGACCAAAGTTCAACATATCCCACGAACAACTTGAATTTCTCCTCGAAAGACGTTTTACTACCGTACAAATGTCGAGGTTACTGGGTATTAGTGTGCGTACCATAGAGCGTCGCATGGCGGAGTTTGGTTTATCAGTTAGAGGGACTTATACAATTATATCAGACGAGCAGTTAGATACAACAACGTTGGAAATTTTGACTAGTTTTCCAAACATTGGCTATAAACGAATGACTGGTCATTTGCGATCTCGAGGAATGAGAATCCAGCAAAAAAAAATTCGAGAGTCAATGCGAAGGGTGGATCCACAGGGGACTCTTATTCGTGCATTGGAAATGAACATCATACATCGCAGAGCATATTCAGTCCCGTCACCTTTAGCTCTATGGCACATTGATGGTAACCATAAGCTAATAAGGTATGTGCCTACAGTGCAGGGGTGTATATAGTTACCAGAGGGGTTACTTTCTCCCCTGCCAAGGTCTTGAAAGGGTTATTTTTACCATTAGTCAGGAGTGGTATAAGAAATGAACCCCAAAGAAAATGATGGATAGTTGAGAAATTGTTAGTGAGGGATGTTGGAGGGGTCCTCCCCAGAAAAAGTTTGTATTTTTGAGACTCCATGACTAGATTTCCTGGATTTTAGAGACATTTTTATATATCTCATCTAAATGGACTGGTCTTTCCCCTGGTCAATCCCTGAGGAATGGCAAATGGGTCATTCCAGAAAAGATCCATACCCCCCTACGGAGGAAATCGAAAATAACCCCCTCCCCCCCTTCGGACATCCTTGAATGGTTCATCCTCCCCCCTCTCCGGACATCAAAGCCCAAAATTACCCCCCTCCCCTTCGGACATCCACTATTTCTAAATTTTTCTAAAGGCTACCTCGCCGTTTGAAAACGTCACCGAAAGTTAGACTACGTTCACACTACGCGCGAGCGAACTAATGCGGGCAGAATTTACATGTGTTCACACTACCGCCATTACAGTTTGTTTACAAATTAAATTTAGCACTCGTGTAAACCCAAAATATTTCAAATAGACCCAAGAAATTTAACTGAAAAGCATTCGAGTTTACACGTTTGTGTTCACACGAAGCTATCAAGCGCTCCGCCGTTTTCACCTCGCTCCGTTTAGAAACCGTGCTCAAATTGTTACGGCAAAAGTGACGTGAAAGTTTTCAAACGATTTCGCTCCAGCGTAGAGTGAATTAGCGATGGCTTATTGTGACTTTCCTACATTGTTTTCAAATAGCTCCGGCGTGGCGGAACACTTGGCGGCTTCTTGTGACTTGCGAACACAAACACGTGGCAAGTTTTGTAGAAATTCAATAATTTGCAGAAATTCACTTCGAAATTCGTTCAAGTAAAATTCGGACTGAAATTCGATGTAACTTGCGACTGATTGACAAGCATTGCTATGTTTACTTACATGTTAATGCATTTTTTAGTATTACTGCATGCCTTAACCTCGCCCTTAATATGAAAGCCATTTCTAATTTCTAGACACGCACCTCGCAAGGAAGGCTTTATTGACTATATACTATTTGTATATATATACTGTTTTGAGTTCAGTTCACATAGCAGTCTCTTAATTCGAGCAACAGATTAATAACTATTATTTTTAACACTTGAATAATTCAAACTTATATATACGAACGAAAACTGTAAACTATATAAATAAAGCGTGTCAATTTTCGACTCATTCTCAACATGCAGGATCAACCTCGCAAGCCAGGGCCTTCTACCTACGCTGGGCTGCGTGCAGGATACGCTGTTACAGCGAGTTAGTTTTTGGTGGCCATGCATGCAAAAGTGGGCCGCTTATTTTGCTTACGAGTTACGTGGACGTATAATTATTGCTGTTACATAAACGTTCCGGTGTTCAAGAGCTACATATAGCCGATAAAAATTGCGTGCTCATTATAATCGCCGATCACATAGCTTTATCACAGTCTCAAACCTTCAGACAAACATATCCACATTCCTCTCCCCCCCTTCGGACATCCTAAGACATTTTTCCTCTCCCCCCCCTTCGGACATCCTAAGACATTTTTCCTCCCTCCCCCTTCGGACAGCAAAAATTTCCTCCGTGGGGGGGGTATGGATCTTTTCTGGAACGACCCAATATAGTGCTAACGCTGCAGGGTAGGGATCAAGTGACCATACCCTGTAGTAGGTCATAATTCAGTGGCAGATTCCCCAAACCAAAGTACAGTAGCTTATTCAACTTTTGAAAGAAGATGTTATTACAAAACATAAATGGTACAAGGCAAAACAACTGCATAATCCAATGGTAACATACTACGTAGCTTTCAAATTCCCTGCCTCAGGAAGAGCCAAATGGCAAGTGCCCCACTTTTGCCAGAGAGGAATGGATTTGACTGGTCACATCCTGGTTTGAAAGGTCTTCTGTCAATTTGAGGTATACGTCCTTGATCAATTTTCGCCGGCTTGAGGGGGTATACTAAATCGGTTCATATTATGTTCATTTAGGTGGAGATTTGTTATTCACGGTTGTATCGATGGGTTTTCTCGCATGGTTGTGTATTTGGGATGTTCCACTGATAATAAAGCTGCTACCGTTTTTACCCTTTTTATGGATGGTGTGACAGAGTTTGGTTTGCCTTCACGAGTTAGATCCGATAAAGGGGGTGAAAATGTAGATGTTGCCTGGTTCATGCTTACACACCCAAGTCGAGGCCCTGATCGTGGAAGCCATATCACTGGTCGAAGTGTCCACAACCAGCGGATTGAAAGGATGTGGAGAGACCTTTTCGCTGGCTGTACTCACCTTTTCTACGAGTTGTTTCACTTCATGGAGGAATGTGGCATCTTAGATGCATCAAATGAACATCATTTGGCTGCTCTTCATTATGTATATCAACCTAGAATTAATCGGAGCTTAGCAGATTTTAAATCAGGTCACAATAATGGGCCTATTAGCAGTGAAGGTAATCAAAGTCATGAACAACTCTGGATTAATGGCATGATACGAAATAGGAACCCTCATGGGACAGTTGCAAGAGAGTTTGCAGAACAGGTAAATGTAGTAAATAC